GGGAGCCCGATGCGGGGCTCGATCCCAGGACCCCGGGATCATGACCTGAGCCGAAGGCAGACGCTTAACCAACTGAGCCACCCAGGCGTCCCTAATGACCACATTTTTTAAAAATGAATTCATTCAAATTAAAAACAAGAACCCAAGACTAAACATATACAATTCAGAAAATGTAGATGCCCATAAGCTCTAATGGGCTTGTCTTCTTTAAGCATTGGTTAATCGGAAACTAAACATTGTAAGATTCTCCTAAGAAGAAAATTAGCATTTTAGTAATCTATTACTTTATAAAATTTCATATTTGCATAATGTTAAATTAAATCACACAGGCATAGAGAATGCTTTATCTTTACAAAAATCAGCGGTTTGTTTAGGAATCCAATTGGGACAGAGCCAGTACTCAAAAACGTATTGGAACTTTCCTTTTCCTTGGTTTCTTTGCCACTGTTTTGCCTCCATTTTCTTGCCAACCTTGCTGATTCTTTTACCATCTCAGCTTCATCTCTCAGATCCTTAAATGTATGTGTTCCTTAAGGTCTGATATTTATTCTTTTTTTCTTCTCTTTACTTTAAAACTATTGTTCCCATCTCTTAAGAGGTTTAGCTAATTTCTGACAAATACTTGCTCCAGCTCTAACTTTCTCCTGAGAGCTCCTCATTTCAGATTCTCAAATTCAACTTATTTCCACAGCCAATTCCTATTCCTTTGCAATAAGGAGACAAAGATGTCAGCTATGGTGTGGCCCAAATGTTGTCAGTACAGTAGTCAATGCAGGCAGCTGTAAAAGTTAATGACAATCATGTGAACGTCATATTAAGAGAAAAAACGGGGCTGACAGTAATACTGTAGGAATCATCAGACACAGGCAACTATTAGGCATGATGACTATTCAGATAAAAAAGGGGTTAAGGCCTATAAGAAAGGGATGATTTGACTGTTGTACTAATGAAAAAAATGAGGTAAGAGAGAAAATCAGCAAAGTTTTAAGAATTATCTTTGGATGGTGTTATGGGCTGACTGGTGTCCCCCTAAAATTCATATATTGAAGCCCTAAACTCCAGTATCTCAGAATATGAATTTGGGATTACCTCAGAATATAAGATCTATTGCCCAGACTACAGCGACCTCTTAACTCGTGTCTCTAACCCTCTTAATGGTCTTGTCCATCTTCTACACTGTTGGAAAGTGATCTATTAAAAATATAAATTCACCTATGATACCCTCCTGATGAAAAGTTTCCATCATTTCTCTGATCTAAGGGAATACAATTCATATAACACACACTTCCTATTATGGCTGAGAAGACCCTCCTTAATAAGGACCATAGACATTCTGTCAGCCTCACTTCCTTACTTGCACTTTATGTTCCAGTGTTAATCAAACCCCTGGAAGTTCCCCTGATCTTATCAGGTTGTTGCATTCCTCCATGATCTTGTGCATGCTCCCACTCTACCAGCAAGTCCTTTTCCTTCTCTATTTTCCCCTCAGTCTTTCTGATTATCTCTCTCCAGATTTCTTCAGGGATCTATGCGTGATGGATAGGTGATAATTTTTCATGCCCTAGCATAGTTCCTACCAACACAGCACATTGGAGTAAGAGGTTACACATTCTTAGATATGGGATATTTTAGTGCTATCCCTGAACCTGGCACACAGTCACTTCACAGTTGCCCTGAACTCTTTCAGGATAAGCTATCAGAATTCATCACATATCCATTCTATTATTGGGGTATATACTCAAGAACTCTATGGCAGACAATTATTTTTAATATTCATCACTCACCATATTTATGGGATCAACTGGTCCAATGCTGTTTACATAAACATCAGTTTCAATTACTGTGGGCCTCACTGCAAAATACCAACACAGAGAATAGTCAAAGATAAGATCAGAGGTTGTGTTAAATAAATCTTAGCTTTAAATAAATCTTCATAAATAACATTTACCATTTAAATAATAAAATATTCCTCATTGGGAAATTGAGAAACATCGCCCATTACAAAAACACAAATATCTTTTCAGTTCAAAAATCATGTACGTAAAAGTTAACATTTTTAACTAAAAAAATTTTTTAAAGATTTTTTTAAATTTTATTTTAGAGGGAGAGAGAGAGAGAGAGAGAGAGAGCATGAGCAAGGGGAGGGGCAGAAGGAGAGGGAGAGGGAGAATTCCAAGCAGAATCCGTGCTCAGTGTGGAGCCTGACTCAGGGCTTGATCCCAGACCCTAAGATCATGACCTGAGCTGAAATCAAGAGTTGGATGCTTAACCAACTGAGTCACCCAGGCACCCCTAAAAACACTTTAATGTACAACCTAAAAATGTTATAAATATCTAAATCCTTCATTAAAATTAAGGAAGTTAATTCAATAAGATTTACTAGATACTTTGCTCTCTGCTACATGATAGGGTTTTAGAATTCGAATGGATATTAGAACCTAAATATTATGCAATCCTACTTAACGCCTATCAGTGGTGTGCCGGTAACTGTTTAACAGCCTTGTTCCCATAGTGGGGAAGCCCTGATTTGTAGATTTTGCCAATACCCATGGGTAAATATTCCCACAATGGTTGATTTAAGGATACAAATGTGAAGTCACTGAATGCAGAGTTGGGACAGTATCTAATAAATAGCTATTGTGAGCCAGCAAAAGGATGTTCTAGCACACAATGGGATTTGAAGCATGGTTATGAGGATTAAAGGAGATAATGTCTGTAAAGCATCCACCTTCAGGTCTGATTTTTATGAGGAGCTTCATAAATATTTGTTCTTACTTCTTTCTTCCCTGTCAACAACATTCCTTTAGGTTGTTTATGCTGGCTCCAGAATTAAGTGTATTTTTATCTAAATTTCACAGAGTATATTGTATAGATGTCACCATGGATTTCATCTATTGTGTTTTGTACATAACCATTTGTGTTTTCCCAGTTAGTCTTAAATGCTATGTATTGTATATCAGTATTTTTATAGTCTATCAAATGTGTAGTGCAGATCCAGCCTTTTAAGTGTTTATCAAATGATACGATTAATGAATACCTGCAATAATATTGGATTATGGTTTTTAGTTTGCTATGAAAAATATTTTCACGTAGTTTATTTTATTTCCCCTGTCCCACCAAATAAAATATAAAGAATTCATTTACTAATTTGCAAATACTTGTTGAAGAGTGAATATAAAGGGTTCACAAGGTAGACAAGAAGAAGTAAACCATTTCAAGAAGAAAACCTATCATATCTCAGAGAGATTTATATAGAAATGATGCAAACAAAATAAAGCAGAAAAACCTACTGGTAGATTGAAAGTTTCTATAATAAAGTGGCATATTTAGTAACACTCAGTTCTCCTTTCTAAATTTTATCTGACTTCCCATTTCTGGCCTAATATTTATCATTCTTACAATTCAGACATTATGTTAGACCTGGCAGGACACACCTCCCCCTCTAACACATAGCTAAACCTGCCTGGAGTCTCTATCCACCCCCAAGTCCCCTGTCTTGGAAACTTCCAACCTAGCAGATTTGCCATGCTAGCAAGAATTCAATGGAAAACTTGACTTATTTTGAAAAACAATGATTATATAATTTTAAAACAATATTTAATTTTATCCTTTGCAATTAAAAAACAAACGACACTTAGAAAAACATAATAATATTTACATAGTTTGGTTTTCCTCAAGTAAAGATTTTATTACATGGTGTATATATATATATATACATATATATATATTTTAGCTAGAAAAGTAAATAAGATTTGTTAAAAATAGTTTTAGTATGCAAAAGTATAGGTCTCTAGACCTATACAATACATGGTAATATAATTCAATCTGCTAGCCAACAATTAGATTTCTTAAATAAAAGTAGGTCATATGATTTATAGAAGGCTTTATAATTTAACTTAGGCTGATGATTTCTGAGATGATTTGCTTTAATTGTTTGCCATTTATTTTTGACTATGAATTGAAGCCAATAAATACCATATAATTAAGCTAGTTTTAGCTAGATTTACAGAATGGGTTTTATGAAAGCCAATTAATTAAAAAAAAACATAGGTTTGTAAATTCCATTTGTAAGTATGTTTATTGCCAGTTATAAGCAATTAAGTGCAACGTACCAGACTTATTTAATTAGATTTTTTTCAGTTCATGTGATAAATCAACAAACACTGAACATCTCTTTATTACATGATAATAAGGGTTGAACATTGTCTATGCTGAGAAATAAATGATTCTTGGGGGCATTTTTATTTCTAGGACATACTTTTCCCATATATAGTATAGAAAGTTTTAGATATGAATGATCTATCCTGGTTTCCTGATATCAATATTTCCTTAACCAGTCATGAGACAAATATATAATACTAGAAAACTATTAACTTTTGCATTAGGGCATGAGCCACACTGAAATATTTCATGAGCAACAAAAATCACGTTCATCTGAGATAAGACAAAAGAAGAATCACATTAGTGAGTCCAATGTAGATCATTGCTATTGATGAAGATATTCAATAGATAACTTAATAAATGTATATTTGCAAACTATGACTATTTCCTTAGTTATTATGTACCCTATTTTATAACTTGGGGCTGCTGGTATTCCATCTAGTTCTTCATATGTTTTGTTTTGTTTTGTTTTGTTTTGTTTTGTTTTTATTTATTTGGCAGAGAGAAAGAGCACAAGTAGGCAGAATGGCAGGCAGAGGGAGAGGGAGAAGTAGGCTCCCCAGTGAGCAAGGAGCCTGACTCGGAGCTGGATCCCAGGACCCTGGGATCATTACCTGAGCCGAAGACAGATGCTTAACTGACTGAGCCACCCAGCCACCCCTCATGTAGCTCTTTAAACTTCTCAAAACATGAGGAAGAATAAGCCTGAAAGGGAACTAAAATATTTCAGATTAATTTTAAAACCCCAGCTAGAGATTATATGCTTCAAAATATACAGTAGAGAAGAAAACAACAGAAAACTGTCATTGTTCCTTAATAATGACTCATCACCACTTTTATCGATTCATACTATTTCATAGTATGAAATACTATTTCACCCAATACTTGTGGGTGAAATCACTTAAAATATAGGCTTCTTGGTAGAGTAAGTACATTTTCTTAGCTCTATGATTTTCTCAGTACAAAGTTTGTTCACTTGGAGGATTTTAGTGATACTTAAAAAAGAAAACATCAGATTTCCACTCAAAAATAAAAAAGGAGACTAAAAGGAAATTGTCATTCCAGGCTCATTAAATGATCTTTAGGAAGAGGGCACAGACTATGTTTAATTCTTCAACGCACATGGAAATGAAAGATCGTCTTTTTTGTGACAGCATAATGACGGAAAAAAACGTAATACCCTAGCAAATTATATTTTTGATAGATGAAAGGCAGGTAGAGAGGACACTGGATTATTTTTGCAAAGCCTCTTTCTGCATTGTGATTCCAAGTGCTTTGCTTTAAGTATCTCAGCAGAATATAAGATAAACTCTCAGTGGGAATGAATATAAGAATGGACCAAGCAACCAAGCAACCAAGCAACTTGGTTCCAACCAAGTTGGAACCAAGCAACTTAAAGAAAATGCAGAGAACAGTAAGAAGAAGCAAAAAAGAATTTAAAAAGAAGAAAGCAGTGAGATCAATGAAGTTTCCACACACAGCTTCCACGTAGCTAAGGCAAAACTGAAGACAGCCAACTGTAGAAATGGGTAATGAGTTTTTAATCAGAAAATATAAAATAAAACAGATTTTTAAAATATTTCATAATTGTTTTTAACCATGCTTTCTTAGATGACATATTCAAATTGCTCTAAGATATCTTTAGCAGATTATGTAGCTTCTGGGTCACTTCTGTGTATTAATTCAGATTAATTAATTAAGGTGAATTAAAAATTAACTCAGGTCAATTAAAATCTCTAATCCTGGAACATAAGTTTAACAGTCTTTTCTGTTGTAACAGAATAGGCATTTAAAAAAAAAGAAATAGAGCCACTGATTTATATGTTACCATTATAATACACAGACTTTGAAAAAACCATAACTAATATATTTTTCTTGCCCTAGAATAGACAGAGGGGTTTCTCAACCCAAAGATATCACATCTGGGTCCAGATGTGATATAAATAAATAAATAAATAAGTTCTTAAGTGCAGTCTAATACTTTAGCCAATAGATACCAACACAATAAGCCAGAAATGATACTAACCCAAATTTTGGATAGAAAAAAATGCCTACAAAGAGCTTGTCAATAGTTAAGTCATTTATTAGGTATGCTCTGAGATGAACAGATAAAATGCTACTATGCAAGGTACATATGCCTACTTAAATTTAAATAGAAATTAATTAAAGTAAAAATGTATTCTCTTAGCCATACTAACCATATTTCAAGTAGTCAGTAGCCGATAACCAATATCAAGTATTCAATACACATACATATGACAATTTTAATATATATTTAATAATCTATTTTAATGTAATATAATCCATACATATATTTAATCAAGTGTATATATATATATTTAATTACTGGAAATGTCATCTTAGGAAAATAGAAGATGGGCTTCTCCTTCTATAGTTAAACATTTCTTTAGACAGCAGACTTAGCAACCTGCTCCTGCTCCTATATCTGATCCGGGGGCGGGGAAGAAAGTTAGAAAGGAATGATGGGATCTAAAGACAAAAAAGCGGTGGAGTGTCTGCATACCTACTCTTCAGTGTGTCTAGGATATTTTAATTTCTTGTGAGTATAACTCACATCTAAAGAAACTGACTGGGCTAGAGGGATCTCACCAGTTTTTTGACACAAGAAAGTTGTACACGAGGAGCGTGATCTTGTTGATGAAAGGAGCTAAGGCGGGTGGAAGATAGAAC